TACGCAACACCCACCACTCAGCAGACATAGACGAACTCAAATACGCACTCTCAAAACTCGGCCACGAAGTCATCAACGTAAGTAATACAAGGCATAGAGTCTCGAAAGACCCGTTATCCTTACTTTTCATAGATATAAAACAAAAGCCTAACAATAAGGAAATCTACAATATCAGTCGCCCAATTAACGCAATAGTAAAATTCAACCACCGCTTATTAAAAAAGAGATAGTGCAATGCAAAAGGTGCCAAAGTTACGGTCACACGCAGAAATACTGCAACCATACCTTCCGCTGCTTTAAATGTGCAGGTACACACTCCACCGACCAGTGCACTAAATCACAGGAAACCCTAGCGAAGTGCATCCACTGTCAAGGTGACCATCCTGCCAACTATAAAGGCTGCTCAGCATACAAAACCCTGAACTATAAAGGCTGCTCAGCCTATAAAACTCTGTACACAAACAGGTACCCTAAACTCAGGGCAAAAGAGGTAACTAACCAAACACCCAGTCCGCCGAAATTCACGACTACCCCAATCCCCTCAGCCAACCAAACACCCAGTCCTACTAAATTCATCACTACCTCTACCTCCTATGCCCAAGCAGTACAAGGCATCCAAAATAACCCGAATAGCCAAAGGGATCTTTCCCAAAATCGTGTTCCCAATTCACCTAACATAGACAATGTCTCTAGGCTTGAAAAACTAATAGAGAAACAATCGGAGTAAATAAATAACTTGCTATCGCTACTAACACTCACCATGGATAAATTAGTACGCCCCGACGCAAAATAAAACCAAGACGCATAGCTCTTTGGAACGCCAACGGTCTAGCGCAACACAAATTTGAACTAGAACTCTTCCTAAAACACCAGCAAATGGACGTAATGCTCGTATCGGAAACCCACTTCACCGACAAAAACTATTTGGAAATAAATGGTTACAAATTCTACCATACCCAACACCCCAGCGGAAAGGCCCACGGTGGAACCGGAATTATAATCAAAATAAGTATTAAGCACTACGAACTTCCATCATTCCAGAAAGACTACCTCCAAGCAACAAACGTAGAAATAGAAGACTGTCATGGTACAATCACCACTTCAGCAGTATACCCTCCCAGACACTCCATCGCCAAAGAAGACTTTGATAACTTCCTGGACACCCTGGGCAATAGATTTATAGCTGGAGGAGACTCCAGGCACACCCAATGGGGCGGCAGACTGGTTACAGTAAGAGGCAAAAATCTCCTAAACAGCATAATAACCAACAACCTCAACTACCTTACCACGTACGAACCCACATACTGACCCACCGACACTAACAGAATATCCGACCTTCTGGACTTCTTCGTAACTAAAAATATCTCATCAAGACACGTCCAAATCAACTTCTCGGCCGACCGCTCTTCTGATCATTCCCCCGTGATAGCAACAGTCAGTTTAACAATCATCGAGAACACACCAAATGGCTCCATT